TGAAGATAAAATAAATACACACACTATATCTATGAACTATTATTAAAAATTTAATTTAGTCATATGGATTTGTATATTTAAAATATAGAAAATTTCAGCTCTGCAGTACAAATAAAATATTAAAAAAACTACAAGTTACAAGTACAAATTTATGGAGAAAATTTAAAATCTCCATTTTTTTAACCATTACCTTCATTTATTATTATTAAGAAAATCATAAATATTTAAAGATTCTTCTGAAAAAGAAAAAAACAAAATAGTTGCAAAAGTGCATTTAGGAAAACTACATTTTATCAAAATGCTTCAAATAACAAAACTTGTTGCATTAATAATAAAATCACACTATTTCTATAGCTTAAAATATAAATTATGATATTCAAAAAATGTGTGTTAAATCTCAAATGTTGACATTAATTATATATCTGACATTTAAAAATAAAATCCTCATGCTATGATTCCAATTTTGTTTTATAGGTAGGAAGACATGAAATAGCATCAGAGTGTGAGCAAATGTCATAATAATCACTGCTCTCTTTACAGATCCTGAACATGTTGTGAATGGAATTATTTACCTTCTCAGTGACAAGGCAGATATGATCAATGGTGCAATTTTACCCATCGATGGAGGATTTACAGCTTGTTAACTTGCTCTCAAATTTTGAGTTTTTATTTTTCTATCAAAAATGTATCTTTTATAAAATATAAAAGATAAATAAATGCTTTAATAATTTTTTTTAAATAAAAAAAATTATAATCATGCATTTAAAAAGAAGGAAAATATCCCTTGTTTTGTTTGATTTGCCACAAACTATGCAAGAGAAACTTCAAAATTAAGCGGCAGTGCTAAGTTACTTATTCATAAGATGATTTTATTGATAAAATTATTTCAAAAATATAAGAATACATAATATAAATTTGCTAATTATTGTATCATTATTATGGAAGACAATTCTTTAGAATTAATTTTATTTAAAATTCAAAATATAATAAATACTTAAGTAATTACTGCCAAGTTTATAAAGTTTGATGTAATATGACAAAAGCTTCACATTTATGAAATTATTGATGACAAAATAGAAGACATTTTAACATATAATTAAATTCTATAACTGTTTCTATAAATATATACAGTACATAGTAAAACTAAAATTTCTATTATGAACAATACAAAAATATACGGTAAATAGTATTTTTAGAAGTTATATAGCATCTGTTGAATATGGAATTATTTTATATAATAATTGCATTTGATTTTTAAATACTGATTGAAATTTGTTTTATATAAATTTTTACTAAAGCTTGAAATCAGTTTTAATGTAAATAAAAATGATAAGAACTATTTGTTTCACTAATTTTTCATAAATTCATTCTATATTAATTAAATGTACTAATGATTTTTCTAGCATTTTTAGAATAAATTAATAAAATTTTAAAACAACATTTTGATTTTAAACTATTCTTACAAAATATGAATAGCTTAAACCTTTCAGCATGAGCATTTACATAGTAGTTTGTTTTTTTCTTGTTTTGAGATTGCATATCATTTCCTGAGAAAAAAAGGAAATCAAGTACAATGCCCAAAATTTGATTAACATTATAGAGCAACAAATTTGAGAAATGTTCTTGAAATTCTTTTACAAATGATTATAAGCTTTGAGTGAAGATAGCACTATATACAAAATCCAAAGAAAAATCATAAAACCTGCAGAGATGTAAGCCAGTACTTTTGATCCTCCTAATTCTCCACCTCCACATCTTCTCAGATATCTTCTCATCATTAATAAAGCTATGCAGATGAAAGCAGCTGCTGAATAGATACCAACACTAAATCCTAAAGTGCCTGCTTTTACTTTAAATATTTCTCCCTGCAAACAAATATAAAGCAGGATTTTATCATTAGAAAAATCAGTAAATTGAACATATTCAAAGATGTAAAAAATAACAATTTACCCGTGATTCCCAATAAATTGATGCAATCACCCAAGGTAGACCAACTCCCAGGAAGACATTGACAGAATTACTTCCTGTAACATTACCAATGGCATTGTCAGCNTAGATGCCATGTCACCAATGATTGCTGTTAATATTCCAATAGCAACCAAAGATACAACAAAAGTTAACCATCCTCCAAGCATAGCTGTAGGAGGAACAAGTGCAAAGATAATCTAAAAATATTTATAAATTTAATTAGATATGGAAACTTTAATTTAAATATTATATAAAATAGCTTCTAACTTCATCTATGATCAAGTTTATTTTTTTTAAGAATATATAATCTATTAAATTTCTAGTAAGAATTCAAACATTAAACGGAATTGACTTACTTTCCAACCAAAGGTAATAAAATGTAGTATATAATCAATGCGAGTAGCATTCTCTAAATCACCACCATTAACATTCATTGCATCTTTCAGTTGTTCAACCCAAGTTTCTGACTGTAATCGAAGAGAATCTATATTCACGTTGGTCATTACCATAAGTCTTCCCATAATAGAGTTAAAATCTAAACAATTGAAAAATAAGAAGAGAATT